CAAAACATTATAACGGGCCACATAATACATGTCCATAGACCATTTCTCCGCCCGCGACAAAGCGTGGCATCCCACCTAGTTATATATAAGGTTGTTGTATATACATGTGTGGAATATATATGTTGGTTTTGTTTCTACGGTGGAAGCAAAGAAAGGAAGTGTTGCAACTGATGGCATCTAATGCGATTGGTGATGGCAAGTGCACTGGCAAAAGCCGTTTCTGTCCATTAGGATGGCAATAGGTTGGGTCGGCGACGAATAGTGCATATTCGTTATCCTATCCAAAGTAGTTCGAGTTTTACCCATGTCCATACCCACATAAGAAACGGGTAGAAAATCCAAACTATGTCCATACCCGTTCGAGTTTCGGGTATTAACGGTTATCCATGGATAATAGTTTTTCTTTATAACTCCAACCAATATGTTAATATTTACACGTATTCTCACGTTATGTAAGACGAAAATACGACAATAATTCACTAGAATGAAGAAAATTAACTAAAAAGACACAATTTCATAAAAAAAAATTATATTTATATGCTAAATATAAAATATGTTAGAGAAAAATATTGATTATTTCTAGACAAAATACATATGCATGTGTAGAATTGGACAGGTTCGGGTTGGATAGTGAGAAAACCATGTCCACCCTTTACCCGCAATATTCAGGTTCAGGTTTTACCTTACCCAATTAGGTCGGATTCGAGCGGATATCCACGATTACAGATATTTTTGCCATCCCTCTTTCCATATTGTCACGGGTCAGTGAATCAATAAATTCAGGCAATGCAGTGTGTTTTTTTTTTAATTTGCAATGGATTGGATGGCTATGGCTATGCGATATACTTTTATATATATGTTGTTATATATGTGCGATCCAATCATTCATGCATGCTAAATATGTCTTTCTTGCACAGTACGTTTGATGGGTAATATACTGTTGTTTCCATGTTTATGGTTAATAACATGGTTTGAGGAAGAGAGAATGACTGGAAACAAATTTGGTGATCGGATAACCAATTCGGTTTGGTTAAGTGATATAAAATACTTTTGTGGTATTTGAGATGAGAAGAGTTTGGAGAAATTCAACTTATTTGAATCTGGAATAATCTACGTTGAATGCTTGCAAGATCAATGCAACAATTTGGTTTATGTAACAAAATTATTTGAGTTGTGATCTTAAAGTAAATTGAAATAATGGTGAAAAGCATTTCTCCCACATAGACCTGGCAATCGGGTCGGGTTGGGTAAGTTCGGGTTGGGAACTTTGGTTACTGGTCGGGTCATGTTTGGTTGGCTTATTTCGGGTCAAATATTGACACAACCCATTCGGTTTCGGGCCGGGTTACAGGTCATTTCGGGTTATGAGCGTTCTCAGAAAAAATATCAAACATGCTTCATATTTTCTTAAAGAACACATATATTCAAATATGTATGACAATAGTTTACCTAACACATGTCAATTAACATATTCTCAAATCCTCCCACGCTAATGAAATGAAATATAAATTGCGCAAATCGTCAAAAAAAATCACAAGAGTAATACTACTACAAGAAACACATGATATTTGATTATCCTAAAACTCCAAACATGTCATTGAAATCCTTGTGATTTTTTAAACATCTCACCAATTTATGAGTGATTTTATCATATTTTTTGAGTAATATATTAAATGGAATGGGTCTAACGGGTCGACCCGCTAACCAACCCAACCCGACCCAAAAAATCACTGGTTATCGTGTTCGGGTCATTCGGATTTCGGGTACATAAATTTCTAGTTTTTGGGCGGTTTCGGATCGGGTTGTAATTTTCCAGGCTACCCCGACATGATAATTTGTTTATCATATATTGGTTTATGAATTAATGTTTCATATGCCACGAGGGCAAGGAAAATGAAACTATGATGAATCCTTATTGGGATTGAATAAGCTTGCCAACGAATGATAATCATCAATTTCTAATAATCATCGTCAGAATTGTTTATGGTATATGTACACTATATATACCATTGGAAAACAGTTCGACTATGATAAACACAGAAGCCTGCAATATTGCTGCTTCCAGACTTAGAATTGAAGGGACTCCTGAAGTTGTTTGCTCGAGCCTACCAGCAATTTGTAGTGGGGACAAATAACACTCTAAGAAGAGTGATCTAATCACGTCTTCAATCGATTCTTTCCTACCAGTTTTCTGACACTTTTTATTATTCTTACTCTTATATATATTAGATTTAAATTCTAACAACTCTAGTTTAGAGTAGGGCATATGTAATTTCCGCATGCACGATGGAGCAACTCCTCCCCTAATAAGAATGCTAGTCGGTGTTGGGCTGCTGCCTACTGAGTCGACGCAACAAGTTTTCCTCATCAAACTATTGATTGATTGCATGTTCGCTTCCTTACAAATGACGGATCAACGCATCCCTAATTGAAAGAAAGAAACCCGCCGCATGCCCGTGTACTGTACACGCAAACACCTTTTAACGTGACTGAGATTTACTGTTTCAAACTGGCGTGTCCTTCGGTGTGGGCTGGAGTTGGGTAAGGCCTCATTGGGATCTAGCGGAGTTTGGGGGCTCGGTCGGGATGGGACTGGTCGTTGGCTTCTGGTTGGCCTTAGTTGCGGTCGTTTGGTGGTCCGGACGCGCGTTGGTCATCAGAGATCGGTATGTGACTTTGCCCCTGCTCGGCCACGTGGGATGGGGCCTTCAGATGTGCTCAGTAAGTCTTGCGTGATATGATTGTGTCTGTTAGGGATTCCTAGAGGGTCGTGTTGGGCTGTTGTTCGCAGGACTGTGTTGGAGAAACTTGGCGGCTGATTGGCTGGGGTTGGAGGTGCTTTGGGAATGGTGGACAACTGATTGATACCGGTTATTCACCTGAGGGACGGGGCCTTCAGATGTGCTCAGTGAGTCTTGCGTGATATGATTGTGTCTGTTAGGGATTCTTAGAGGGTCGTGTTGGGCTGTTGTTCGCAGGACTGTGTTGGAGAAACTTGGGGCTGATTGGCTTGTATTGGAGGTGCTTTGGGAATGGTGGATAACTGATTGATACCGGTTATTCACCTGAGGGCGGGAAGTGTCAATGAGGTGACTCTGAGGCTTCGTCTGCTCCATATGTGGTATGCCAAGAATCCTTCTGGGACAAGGGTGTTTAATCACTGTTGCCTCTGGGTGGATCAGACGGTAGATTCTCTTCCGCTGATTCTTTGTGATTACAGTGATTTCTGTTTTTTTGCTCTTTTTTTTTTCCTTCTTTGCTCTTTCTTTACTGTCTTTTTTTGTTTTTAATTTAGGGTATGCTCATTCAGAGCCTGGCTGATGTCTCTATTGGGTCTGAATTTGAGCGTGTGCTACGCGTGGGAGTTATCTACGTTCTTAGGTCTTTTGGTCTCAGTGCCGCAAGGAATCTCTATCGTGCTTGCTCATGTGATCTGATAATAGAGTTGTCAGCAACAACTATTTTCCAGGCCTGTTATCTACCTGCAGCTGAATTTCCAACTGATTCCTTTGAGGTTGTTCCTTATAGTGAGCTGTCTAACCGTTCAGGGGACAATCGTATCCTTGCAGGTGATTATTGCGTTTTCTTGACTGAATTGGATTGGGTTTTATGTCTTCTTACTGCTCTTTTTTTTCGGTCAGATGTTGTCGGCCGTCTTCATTCTATTAGCGGGATTGATCATCAGGTTACTAATCACGGCTCGACTCCAAAATAAGTTCTGGTCCTTGAGAATGCACAGTAGGTCTTTCTGTTATTTTATTTTTCCACTGGGGAATACTGTTTCGTCACCTTCACGTAAGATCTGATCCTTTGTTTTGCTGTCAGGGGCCAGAGAGTGTCAATCACGCTTTGGAATGAACTGACGGCAGTCCTTGATCGACCTGCTTTGATTCAGGCGGACTCCATTGAGCCAGTGATCGTTGGAGTTGGGGGGCTCATGGTTGGTCGTTTGATAGGTGTGTATTTTAACTCTTTTCCATTCTGCTTGATCATAAATTGTGAACTGATTTTGTTTTTGTTGTGCAGCCGGTGAATATTCCTGTTCGAGCTCCTCTGGAACCCGTATAGTTGTTAGCCCGAGGATACCAGAAGCTTACAGCCTCGCTGCTTTGTGGGTTCTTTGTTGTTAAACTGTGATTTTGTTGTTCTAGATTTGCTTTGTGGTGTTTGGTTTGCTTGACTTTTTGTGTCCATCTATGCAGTTTTGGTGGATCCAGAGTTCCTGTTGCTGATTTGCCGATCAAGTTTGCGACCCCAGGGGACGCTGTTGCTGATGCTGAGCGGAGAACCAGGACCATAGCTGAGCTTCTTGATTTGCACCATAGCGGTGCTTCTGTCGTGAGTTGCATTCCAATGTAGTTTTTGATTTTAGAATGGTCTTCGGGTTGTCCATTTATTTATGTTTTTTTATTGCTTTTTGGGATTATCAATGTTTATATTCAGGATGAAAAGCATCGTTGCGGTGGTATAGTCCGATCGGTTGAGTCCCGGAGCCCGTGGTATTACATGTCATGCAGCATGTGCAGAAAAAAGTGTTCTACGTGGCGAAATGGTAACTACTGGTGTCCTGACCATTGGGAGATCACTGAGCAGCAAGTGACAGTTAGGTGTGTGTTTTGTCTGATCATTAGTTGTTGTTTTTGTTTATTTCATTGTGTGCCTGTCAGGTCTTAGAGAATTTGCCTAATATTTTGAGTTTGCGCTCCTATGTCTGTCCTGATGGAATTGTCTCTGTTTTTTACTGTGTCGTCTCTAGCTACAAGATCCAATTGACCCTGCGTGATGCCACTGACGAGGCCACTTTCATTATTTTCGGCCCGTGTGGGAACAATTTGGTGCTCACATCTGCCCAACTGCTGGCCCAGAGATATCCTCACAGGTCTGGCCAGTTGCCGCCTGAACTTAAGGCTTTGTTCGGCCAGTTTGTCAGGTTTGAGGTCAAGCTTCCGATGGTTGGGTCAAGTGGAGTATCTACGGGTGAATTCCGTGTTTTCCGAGTTATGCCCCGTGATGTTCAGGGCCCAGTGCTTGGTCTTACAGGAGTTCCAGATGTCACAGGCAGTGTTTCTTCGTCCCAAACCCTAAGTCAGTCCTATTTTGGTCAGGAAGGAATGTTGATGCTGCCTGCTCCAGGTGTACCTTTCGCAGCTTCAGCTTCTGCTGTCATACCATCTAGGTGAGCGTTGTTTGCTCTATTGTTATGTTTGTGTTAGTTAATTACGGGGGTTTAGGTATGGGTTTGGGTTAGTCTAATAATTAATCTTTGCTGTTACAAATCTAGCTCATCCAAAGGAAAGGAAAAGGTTGTTGACTCAGTGTCGCCTGGAGGGACGAATCCAACATTCCAGGTTGGCCAGGTTGCAGGGTTGCCTCTCAGGTAACACATTTGGACTGTTTTACTTGATTTGGTATTGATGCATTAACCTGTGCTTTGTTGTTGTTGTTGCATGGTAAATACTTATGTGCTCTTTTGGCTCTTGCAGTTCATCTCAAGTTCCTTTGGCAATCAAGGAAAATGCTGTTGTGTCCGACGTGATTTCGCCAAATTTACGGCCTCCTGTTTCATCTATTGCACCTTTGCTTTCTGTTGCTGATGTGAAAGGAAAAGGAACAGGTCCAGGGGCGACTGTTGTGGCAGCTCCTTTTACCATTGCAGATCCTTTGAAGGTCTCTAATATCCAATCAGTTGGTGCTATGAAAGGTGCAGTGGGGACTCCTGGAACTCGGAGTGATGGTATGGATGTGATGAGTTCTACTAGCCAGGGAGTACATGGATTGTCATCCATTGCTGGGCTGGGTTTTGAAACTCCTCAGAGTAAAATCAGCAAGTCATCTTCGGCAGTTTCGCCTTTGTCTTCAAGGAGTCTGTGAGTTTTTTACTTTTAAACTTATCGTGTCATGGTTAGAGTGCAGTCGGAATTTATTGTTTTGGTCTTTGACAATGCAACTTGATATCACCTCTGGCTAAGGTGAAGATTGAGAAGCTGGAATCTTCTGGAACTGGATCTCCTAATGTGAGGCAGGATGATGAGCAAACAGAAAGTTCGTCCCCTTTTTCGCTTGCTGACCAAGATTCACACCAGGCACCTGGGAAGCCTTCTGCTGCTAAGCGTCGCCTGTATGAATCTTAGGGTATAAATTCGAGTCTGATCCCTTCGTGTGTTATTTATTAGTTTTGAATGCTGATTGGTTATGTTATTTACTGGATCTAAGTTATGCTAGGTGCAGGAAAGGTGGTTGCCTTTTGTGGATGCTGGATTTGCTGCAAGGAGGCAGTCCTTTTGATGGTGGGCAGGATGATTATGTTGTTGATCGTTTGAAGTTGTGCTGGTTGGAGGGTTTGCAGCTCTTTTGTAAACTTCTTGGGAACCTGTTTGTAAACTTTGTTCTTGCCTTGCCTAGATAATTTTGGAAACTTTGTGGAAATTATGTTGTTGGTTACTAGACAAAACTAATGGTACTTCGGGTATCTGTTTATGAGGTGTAAGTTTTAAGTGCATGTAATTTTCTGTGCAAGATCAGGGTGGTCAGTTTGGACACCTGAAATGTTGTGACCCCAGTGTGGGCAAAATTCTGGCCTTTTGGTCCCTCTTTTGTAGAATGTGAATGCTCAGCAGTTTTTATGCATTATCAAGGAATATAGTTTTTATCTAAGATGCCTGTGTTTTACATTTATGTCTTAACTGTATGTATATGCAAATATAACAAAAATGTTCTTTACATCATGTGATGGGAAAGAGTAAGCATTGTCCACAAGAAAAATATGATAAGAACAGGCGAGATTAGTAATGGATAGCAGACATGTGCTAATATTAAAAGGAATCTTTTGGGTTGCAAGATTTAAATAATTTGGGTTAATTATGTGCCCAAAATCTAAAGCATTAAATGCAAAAGCCATCATTGTTTACCCTTGATTACAGAACCAGCAGTCACAATGACTACTTGGATAGAGATTAGACACCTAATATAAAATAATATATTGAATGTATAATATCTTATTAAGGAACACATCAGATATCAAAGAGATTTCATCGATGGACCTTCAACTTTCTCTTTGCCCTCTGGTTTTTGCTATTGTGTTCAGCAAGTAATTCTGTTTGTGTCGACTTTTTCCCTTCAGTGGAGTATCAGCTAGCTGGAGTATACAGCAAGGTAAGACCTGCTGATTAGCTGTTTGGAGCTACACGTCAGAGACACACATCATTGGTGATATAGACGACGTCATCAGATACAGTTAAGCATGTCTGTATTCGTTATTCCTCAGTTACACATTAATGGAACCTCTTTAAATGATTTGGATCCTCTTCTTTGTCTATCTGACCAAGACAGAACACTGAAGTTTGCAGTTATTGAACTTTTGTTTTTTGCTCATTTAAGTCTGACTGGATATCAAACATTTACTTCATGTAATCAGAATGACACCTAGAAAGAAGAGAGCGCCTTCCAACCTGCTGATGCGAAAGAGAGGTGACACTTCTTTCACAATCGAATCCTCCAGGAATCCAACACACAGCTTTACAGATATGAACGTGGATAACACCAGAGTAAACAAGAGATTGAGAAGCCTGCCGTTCATTCTCTCAGGGGAAATTTCAAAGTCGACAAATGCTCACAACAGTGAGTTCGTTCCTCCAAATCCTTATACAGAAATGGGTGGTGATGAGGCATCTTGCAGTTTAGCTATAAATGATCGTCAATATCAAAAAGCAAAGAAAGCATCAACTGATGTCCCAACTGCAAGGAAGCCATTGCACAATGATAGGCTGAGCGTTGGAAAACCTAACTGTGTATGTCAGTTCTGTGGTGCTTTTTTTGGTATGCTGAGCGATTGGATCGACACAGGAAATCCTTAAATCCTGTGTATAGTCTTTGTTGTCAGAAAGGAAGAGTTTGCATTCCCCTATTAAAGCCACCACCTCCATTGCTTGCTCAGCTGTTGGATCTTAATGGAGGTGCAATGTCAAAACATTTTAGAGACAACATTAGACCCTACAATGGTTCTTTGTGTTTCACATCTTTTGGAGCCAAACTGGATCCACGCTCTTTGACAACAAGAGGACCTTATTCGATGGTTATTTGTGGTGAGAATTACCATAGGATTGGATCCTTACTTCCAGTTGATGAAAATAGGCCCAAGTTTGCTCAGCTATATATATTTGAACCTGGAAATGAGGTTAACAATAGACTTGCAAACTTCGCATCTCGAGAGGAAGTCTTGCTGCCTGAGTTACTTGCAAGTTTGCTTCGAATGCTTGATGAAAACAACGAGTTGGTCAGAACATTTAGGCGCATTCGACAAGATCTCCAGCTTTCTTCCACACCAAATCTCCGACTCAGAATCTTTGGGATCAAAAGTAGAAATCGACAATATGACTTGCCAACTAGCTCTGATATTGCAGCCTTAATACCTGGTGATTTTGTTGCAGATAGGGAGGATAGAGATATCATTGTTGACCATCGAGGAGAAGGGCTGAAACGTATAACAAGCCTCAACCCAAAATTCGAGGCTCTTCACTTCCCATTGCTATTCCCGTACGGAGAAGATGGGTTTCATCCTCAAATATCTTATAATGCCTCCTTTTGTCCAGCATCAATGCGCAGAAAATTTGTTACTCAAAAAGAGTATTATGCTTTTAGACTTCAGTATCGATTGAATGAGGGGCATACAGTGGTTCAAAGTGGCAAGGCATTGCAACATTACTGTGTTGATGCATTTTCAACAATTGAACTCAATCGACTGGCATTTCTTAGAATTCATCAAAAGATTTAAGAGCAGAAGTTTATCAGGGGTTACAGGATGCATTTTCAAAGGGAGACATGGATGGAGAAAAACTTGGAAGAATTATAATGCCATCATCTTATACAGGAGGACCAAGATATATGCAGCAACTATATCATGATGCCATGGCAACCTGTCAACATTATGGTAACCCAGATTTATTTGTTACATTTACCTGCAATGCTCTTTGGGAAGAAATTGTTGACGCTTTTGCAGATATGGTTGGACCAAACAACGAGTTGAAGCCTATGGTGGTCTGCCGTGTGTTTCACATGAAGCTTGCCATATTAATTGACCAGTTTAAAAGAGAATCATATTTTGGATAAACGATAGCCAGTGAGTTGCCTGTAGATGACCTTTCATTGTATAAAATTTCTTTTATTATTTGAATGAGCTATCAAGTTCGAATGATGGACTGTTTTTTCACAGTAATCTACACAGTTGAGTTTCAGAAGAGGGGCCTCCCACATGTCCATATGCTTATATGGTTAGCCAAAGAGGATAAGCTAAAGTCAACATCTGACATTGACGAGATGATTTCTGCAGAGATACCAGACCCCTATCTAGATCCAGAAGGGTATGCTGCAGTGGTTAAGTTCATGATTCATGGACCTTGTGGTGTTAACAACCCCACTTCACCATGTATGAAAGATGGTAAATGTTCGAAGTATTTTCCAAAAGAATTCTGTTAAGAAACTTCGTTAGACAAGTTTGGCAATGTCGTGTGCAGAAGAAGAAATTCAGGCATTCAGGTTCAAAAAGGAAAGGCAATGCTGGATAATAGATATGTCGTTCCATACAATCGGAACTTATTGGTTAGAGCTCAAGCCCATATTAATGTGGAGATATGTCACAAGGGAGGGTTAGTGAAGTACTTATTTAAGTACATTACTAAAGGACCAGATAGATCTCTTATTGTTGCAGAAGACTCGACAAGCTCAGTTCAGGTACCATCAAATATAACAAAAAAAACCAAAGACGAGATACAAGAGTTCATTGATTGCAGGTCGCTGTCCTCATACGAAGCTATATGGAGAATCAACGAGTATTCTATACACCACAGAGAGCCTAATGTGGTTAGACTTGGTGTACACATGGATGGACAACAAAATGTTTCATACAAGAGAAGGTCAAATATCCAAAATGTTTTGCAAAATCCAAGGGCAGGTAAAACTCATCTTACTTCATGGTTTGAACTTAACAGACATGATTGCAGTGCAAGAAAACTTACATATGCTCAAATACCAAATTCCTTTACATGGAATGAAGAATACAGTGAATGGAGTCCAAGGAAAGGAGGTTTCGCAATAGGAAGGATAGCATATGTTCCTCTAGGAAGTGATGATATATTCTTTCTTAGGCTGCTATTGACCAAAGTAAGGGAGCAACAAGCTTCCTCAATTTAAGAACAATACAAGGGGAGGTTTGTAGTACTTACGAAAGAGCATGTCAAAAGTTGGGGCTTCTGTCGAACTCTTCAGAATGGATTCAGGTATTACAAGAAATTGCAGCATCAAGTATGCCACACATAATATTGACTACATTTGTTTCGATGCTGATGTTCTGCGAAATACCTGATCCTAATGCTCTATTTGAATCTTCATGGAGGTTAATGAGTGAAGATCATGTTTATTCTCTTCGTAAACAGCTACACTCAAAAACTTTCCAGCCTTCAGATGAGAGACTTAAGAATTGGGTGTTACATCAACTGTAAACTTTACTGAGGACTTATGGTTCTTCACTTCAGCAATTACATCTCCCAAGACCGACAGATTCAGAACCTGACGATGGATCAAATCCCCTGATTAATGTGCATCTTAACTTTGATGATGATCAACAAAGGTTACTGGCAAATACTATGGTTAGCAAACTGAACACAAAACAGCTAGAGGCTTTCACACTCATTATTCTCTCTATCAACAACAACCTTGGCAGTTCATTTTTCCTATATGGCCATGGAGGAACAGGCAAGACTTTTCTCTACAATGCAATCATTGCAAAATTAAAAAGTCTTTCCAGAATTGCTATAGTTGTTGCCTCATCTGGAATAGCAGCCACACTACTACCAAACGGCACAACTGCTCATTCAAGGTTCAAGATTCCCCTTCACATAGACCATGCATCTACATGTTCCATAAAGAAAGGTACTCATTTAGCTGAGCTAATACGTGCAGCTTCATTGATTATTTTGGACGAAGCACCGATGACACATCGAAATGCATTTGAGGCTATAAGCAGGACGTTTTGTGATTTGATGGACATACCACTATCAGGTCCAAAACACAAGTTGTTTGGAGGAAAAACAGTAGTCTTTGGTGGTGATTTTAGACAGACTCTACCAGTAATTTCAGATTCAGGAAGGGAACAAACAGTTGATGGATCCATCACGAGGTCATCGTTGTGGCCCTTTTTTAAGGTGCTCAAACTGTCAAGGAACATGAGGCTTAATGATTCACAAGATAATAGAAACCTGGTCGGCTGTGGAATGAACTTTGGTGAGTGGATTCTGGCGATGGGAGATGGAAGGCTGCCAACAAAATCCTTTATGGCAAACACACCTTCAGATTGGATTGAGATACCACAAATACTCTTGATATATGCTGGAAAAAATCCGATCGAGTCAATCACAAATAACATATATGACGCATTTGAGGAACAACACATGAGCATGGATTACCTAAGTGGAAGGGCAATCGTTACTCCTACTAATGCAGTTGTGACTGAAGTGAATGACTTCATGTTGCAAAAAATTCTTGGACATTGCCGTTGCTACTACAGTTCAGACTCTATGCAACTTGATACAGAGGTACCTCAGCTATTTGCTGAAACTTACCCAACAGAATTTTTGAATGCTCTTCAGTTCAATGGTGTTCCAGATCATGAAATAAGACTTAAGGTTCACACTCCAATCATGTTGCTGAGAAATTTGAGCCCACCAAACGGCCTATGCAACGGTACGAGGATATTGATTACGAAATTGGGGGAAAATATCATTGTAGGAAGCATCATGGGAGGATCTTTTGACACAAAAGAGGTTGTTATACCACGAATAGTACTCAACGTAGAAGACAAACGCTGGCCCTTTATACTTAAGAGGAGGCAATTCCCAGTACGTTTATGTTATGGGATGACTATAAATAAGAGCCAAGGCCAAACGCTGGACAAGGTTGGAGTCTATTTGCCTAAACCAGTATTCAGTCATGGACAGCTTTATGTGGCAGCATCAAGAGTAAGATCTGCAGGTGGTTTGAGATTCTTGATTGAAAATGAAGAGGACATTCCAGCCAATTACACAAGAAACATTGTATATTCAGAAGCCTTCACAGATATTGCATCTGGTTAATTTTGCAAGCATCGAAGAAGCTCGAAGTGATTATTATGAACTCTCACAACTTTTTGAATTTTACGCCTGGAAAAATTTGTTCTTCCAGTTCTTGCGTTGTTCTTAACAAGAGACACATTTTGTGTTTTTTATTTCGAAACTCAAAGCTAGAAAGCAGTCATGAGTTTTTATCAGTTAACATCGGTTCGGACTATCCAGAGAGAACTTAGAAAGAAAATCGATGAGCCCAACTGATACAACTTGACAGAACAATCATCGCAGGAGCGTATTGTAGCCTTTTCTGTAAGAAGGCCTGATTCAATAGTTAGAACCCATTGTATCATACAGAGCCCAAACACGATGTCAAGGCCCAAACAATCGATCCAAAAAGGACTTACCCTAAGTTAACCCTAGCTTACATAAACTACCGATTGTTTTTTATGCCTTCTAGAATCGGCCGCGCAGTCAAGATACAAAAAAAAAAAAGGGAAACCAGGGTCTCGAAGAACTGGAAGCTTTCTTCTACCCAACAGATTTACAGTTGTATAGTACAACTGACACGTGAGATTCCGTGGACCCACACAAAATGGACCCGAACGAACTGAAAGGTAAATACATTGAATCTGGAAAGAAATCCAACAAACGCATCTCGATTCCTATGCGAGTTTTTTCTATTTATTATTTATCGATTCGTCTTTAATCGCGTTGCAGAGTCCATTGATTCAAGCATGTGCTTTCGGGGACTGCGTTTGGGAACAAACAATCGAACCGTTATAGCTAGATATGTCGTTACATGGACTGAGTTCCGAGAAGTGCCTTTATCCACATGGAAGAAAAGGACACATCACATGCTCTGGCTTGACAAAAAGGTTTGACTCCAGATACCCCAACCATATTCATAAATATTCGTCAGAGCATTTGATTCAGTGTTAAGACAAAAGAACTTGCCAATATACAAACCCTAAACATCAATTAACCTACTGGCGAATGCTAAAAGATCAAAAACTCTTGACAACATATCTATCCACCATTGACTTTACAAAACAAGTTGATCGAAGCTCAGGTTGAAGAAGAAGATGCAGCTGAGGTTTTTAAGAAAATCAAGGTTGGCTGCCTGCATGAACTACAAGATATTGTAGCAGGTCCAGCAAGGTCAGTGCAACGCGTTGTCCATCGAGAGTTCCGCCTGCTCCTCACTTCAGATCAAATTAGGAGGCACATTGAAGAAGGATATGGACCCCAGCAATTCCCAGTAGGATCATACACAGCAGCCGATTTTTCCATTGTGCCTCAAACATCAGAAGACTTTGTCTGCCATTCAGGTAAATATATGTCTCTCTATCCATGATTAAGAACACCATTAAACAAAGCATAACAAACATTAAATATGTAGATGTTATAGGATGTGTTAGAAGACTAACTCATCCAGAAACAATTAAAGGAAGGATTCAGAAATTCGACCTGGTCATACAAGATGTCTGGTATGCTCTTAAGATTGTACACTTTTTTTTACTTTGTAAAAATATATAGTTAACGCATTGCTTTGCAATCAGTGGGGCAAAGGCTTATGTTGAATACAATGGGCATGACATTGATGATTTTCAAAAGCATGCTCCAGCAGTTGAGTCAAAGTTACCATTGATTGTGACAATCAAATCAGTTAGTAGAGTAACTCCTAGACATAACAGTAAGTATCAGCATGAATTTCGATCCACAATTGCAAGTAAGCTCATCATCCATTCTTATCAGGACTGCTGCAAGGATATCATGAACATGTGAGTTGCTGTATATGGGTTTACCCAACTGATTGGTTCAACTACTATCGAGTTAGTGATACTTACACATTTCTTTTCAACATGTAGCTTTCTTGCATGTCGCAAACCAGTTTACTTCATCGATGATGCTACTTGAAAAAAAACTGGACACCTGCTGAGCAATCAACTGCAAAAGAAATCGCTGAGAGAGATAAAAGAAAGGATGGAGGACCTGTCAGATTTCACAGAGGTAAACGAACAAACACCAGCATTGACATCAGCTGTATATTTCCATCTGTTTACCTGTATAATACATCTGACAGTTTTTGAAACAGGTTACTTACATGACATTGATTAACATTCCAAGGTTTATATACAGAAAAAGCATCTGCAAAATTCGTGGAGAGAACACAGGGTAAGCTTTTGACCATTCTCCCATGTTTACACATGCGATAATAATACTCTTGTATAAACCTAACAAAAAGATCTTTATTGCAAGACTGACATACAAACTGGAAGGGAAATGTCGCCAAGGAGGATATGAAATAGATGTGGTGTTTAAGCATGAAGCAGCTCTGTCACTTATTCGTAAGTCACCGTCAGATTATCAGTTTCTGAAGAAGGACCAAATATTCGAATTGATCGCAAAGAACTGTAACAAAAAATTTGCTGCGGAATTGAACGTCGCATGGAAAAAAGTGGGGGACAGTGATTCAGACATGCAACCAAAAGCGATAGTGCTCACCCTGTGGGACCGATCAGCATTCGAGAAATGATGTTGTCCTTCGAAGCTTGCCATTTTGATATCGTGCAAAACACAAAGGCACGAAACTTCTGAAAACATTTTGTCCTGCTGTTTTCCGAATCTTCAGTCTCCGCCATGGAACTTTTATTAGTTTAGTAGATATATCGTGGAAAACTTGGCCACACTCCTAACTACATTCATGTTTATTCTGCAAACCCAGTCAATCTTTTGAATAATGACCGCAGTTTTTATGTTTATGACAACATTTATGTCTATATGTAGAACATAACGATTATGGTTATAGATTATATTAAACCATTTAAATTATGACATATATAGTATCCCGCAGCGGAGCGCGGGCTGAATCCTAGTAAGAAATTAAAGCCTGTTAATCTATAACGATCTTCCTGGCGGCTCCTGCCTGCAACAAGTTTTTCCCATCAAGCTACTGCATATGTTAATGTCTCCTCCTAATAAGAAAGCCGGTTGATGTCTAACCACCTTCATGTATCATAAATCAAATGGTCCAAATAACTCGAGTTATTGAAAGAGCTCTATATCTGATACTTAACCATTTCTTTACACGTTCTTTCAAACAAAAACCAACTCATGAGTTTGAAATTTGCATAAACTTGTGTCCTATTATAAAATTCCTGTCCTTTCCTCATCACATCCATTCACATTTTGTTGTCCTTCTCTATTCTGCTTCATGTTTTCTTTCTTTCACTAATCCATCAATCAAAACACCAATCTCGTCCTAATCCAAGCTACCAATAGCTTAGCCCACACATGGAGCTTCTTCTTCAAGTACTCCCTGCCACCATGGATCACTTCTCCAGCTACCCGACGGTCCTCATCGTCCTCGCATCCTTGCTCGTCCTCTTCCTCTTCTCGAGGTACCGGAAAAGTAAACTCGTCCTTCCTCCGTCGCCGCCGGTGAAGCTGCCCATGATCGGCCACATGCACCACCTCGCCAGCAACCCCTTGCCACACCGCGCCCTCAGGGACCTGGCCCAGAAACACGGGCCCGCAATCATGCACCTCCAGCTGGGCTAGGTCCAGACAATCGTCGTCTCCTCGGCCCAAATCGCCGAGGCCATCCTGAGGACGCATGACGTCAACTTCGCCCAGCGGCCTCCCGTGCACTCGGCCAACATCCTCGCATACGGCTGCACCGACATCGTTTTCGCGCAGTATGGTGACTACTGGCGCCAGCTGCGCAGGTAGCGGTGACAATTTTTTTTTTACCGCAATTCTGTATTCAATCCATTAAAATATCCCATCCATTTTAACTTAAATACAAATGGATTGGATTGGTCATACGAGGAGGCCGGGTGAAGAAGCAGAAGAAGAGATCGCGCCGGATCTTTTGAAGCATCATGAGGGTTAAGGCAATATGAGATTCTCATTAACTACTGACAATATCAAGGCGGTCCTAGTGGTAATTAATTATTAGGCAAAATACACTTCCATAGCCATAATTTTACACTTTGTGACAAATATAGCCAAGTTTTGAAAAATACACAAAAATAGCCATTCCGTCCATTAATTTAACGGAAATGTAATGACGGCTGACTGGACAAACGGTCATCTGGGACAGCCACTGCTTTTATCTACATGGCATGCCATGGTGGAATTTAAATTTAATTATATTTATTAAAAAAACTACTTTACCAAATTGTTTGTTCTTTTTCACCATCCGCCCCTTCCCATTCTTCGCTTATCCTCTTCGGCCAGAAACCCCACCTCCATTCCACCTCAACTCAAAATCGTTGACGACTCTCAATCGACGACAATTGGAGAACCCAACAAATCCAATCGACGAGAACCCTGCAAAACCAATCGATGAGACCCTGCAACGAGAAAGCAACCTCTGTTGTTTTCCCCGTCGCACCAGCAACTACTCCATAAGTCAGAATTCGGAGCTAGCACATAGCGTGGAGGATTTTTCATCTGAAATCGGCTACGAGAAGCCCAAAAATCGAACCCCGAGGAACCACGAATCGCAACTGCGTCTATTTTTCCTCCTCTTTCCTCGTCAGTGCTTGTCACTGTCGCCGTCCGCAAGTCTTACCCTCTCCTCTGTTGTAGCTTCTGGGTTCGTCCCTATCCCGCATGTATTGTTGGACTCGAGGCAATTTCTCCAATTTTTCTTCAGTAGTTGCAGATCTGGATTCCCTTCCCGTGAGCCCATTACCACCGAGCTTTGAAGCTGGTACAGAGCTTTCAATTAGGGAAGAGAGGAAGAGTTGCTGATTGGAATAGTCTATCTATCCAGTGGTGGCTTTCCTTTTTCCATATCTAATTTTTCTTCCATCTCATGACCAAACCACAGACGATCGAGGACGACTGCATCGAAAACGAGATTAAGAGGAAGATCTATTTCCAGGGAGGATGACAGAGCCTCCTTGCCATCGACGAATCAATGGAAGGCATCGACGTAGGAGGATGGTGGTGGAAATCAGAGGTAGTGGAAGATGGAATATTTATGGGAGAAGAAGTTGAAGGGGGTGCGGAGGAAGGAACCCAAGTCTCCGCAGAGAATTCAAGGGGGATAATTGTTTTTTTTTTTTGGGATTTCCCCCCTCTTTGATTAGGCCTTTAGGTTGCGTACAGTTAGACACTAAAATAAAAAAATATTTTATTTTCCAAATATGTTTTCACAATTTTTTAATATGACGTGGTATATAGGTGGCACGACATGTTGTCCATGTGGCGTCCACATCAGCTTTAATTGACAGTGTTACTAACAGCGCTAATCTTTTTAAAGAAAGTGGCTAGATTTGTCAAACAAGTTTCAAAAATGTGGCTAAATCTGGGTATTTTTCAAAAAGTGGCTATATTTGTCACAAAATGTAAAGTTATGGCTATAGAAGTGTATTTTGCCTAATTATTACTTTCTATCATCATCTTGCTTTAAAAAACATAGTTAGTTGTTAATTCTAAGAAATCATGGAAGTTGTATATTTTTTTTAGTTTCTTCATTAGTTTTCTTTTTATTTAGTGTTGGTTAAGTTAATAAAGATTTAAACGGAAGTATAAGTGTTCTAGAACAACTACTTCATGAATCATTTAGTACAAATTGCTTTTTCCCCCCTCTCCAACGCTGGATACACGCTTAGGCAATGACTATATATGAAAGCTAGGTACTGGACAAGACTCTAATATCTGTCTTACGCTTAGCACTTTTTTGAACGTAACGATGAATAGTGTGACATGATTGACATGTTATAAGGAAATCGATGGAGAAAAAGATTAATATTGGTAATAGTTTGGTGGATGAGTCATGCAAAAATAAAGGGAGAAAATATTGTAGAAAGTGAGTCTTGTGAGATTAGGTTATAGAATTTTTATAATATAATTATTACAACGGATACCGCAATCATTTTATTTTTTTTACTAAAAACAAGAAGAAAGCAACTTAAAATTGTTTCGTCGTTTTCAACTAATATCTGTTGCCTTGTCAGTTTTCATAACTACAAATGAAAACACAACTATATATGTTTTCAGTATCATGTAAAAAGTAAGAAAGAAAAAATACCAGGGCTTTCACTTATCACTTAAACATCGGGCTCCCAAAAATATTTTTAACTAGAGGCCAATTAGTTATTACCAACCAAGCTGATTAGTGATCACGCTTAATTTATATTCTTATCAGGACCTATTCTTTGCCGGCACCGAGACAACGGCAACGAGTTTAGAATGGATCATGTCGGAACTAGTGAAAAACCCACGAGTGATGCAAAAAACACAATCCGAGGACCGGTGTCGAAGACTGCGAGATCGGCGGCTATCACATACCGGCCGGTTCCAGCATCATGGTCAACGCATGGGCAATCGGAAGGAACCCAGAGTACTGGACCGATGCAGAGACGTTCTGGCCCGAGAGGTTCCTCGAGAGCTCGGTCGATTACAAGGGGGCGCACTTCCAGTTGCTTCCCTTCGGAGCTGGAAGGAGGATCTGTCCTGGAATGTCGTTTGCTCTGGCTAATCTCGAGCTTCCGCTGGCGCGATTGCTATATTATTTCGATTGGATGCTTCCATATGGACAGGAAAATGAGTGTGTCGACATGACCGAGACATTTGGCACGACCGTGAAGAGTAAAAACAAACTATTCTTGGTTCCTACCGTTGCTTCGTTGCGCGACGGAAACTGATGGATTGCTAGCTTATCTGGAAAAGTCATATAAGTATTTGCAATGTGTAGTACATTATGCGGTTGTTTCTATGGGTGTTCAAACACTTTGATTAATTTGGATATCGGTTTGGTTTGGTTAAATTTTTAGCTTGTTTGGTTTAGTTTTATACACTCCAATCCAAACCAATTAAACCAAATTAATCAGTTAAGTGATTTTTCATATATCCCATAAATATTATATACACATACTTAATACTTTGCATAACAACTCAAATGTCAAACGTTCCTCCTAAGCACATAAAAAACGAAGTGCAATGTTGCTATATTTGTGTTTGTAGAGTGTAGACTACCACATATGAAATCCTAATTTTCATAAAACTCATACAATATGTTGGATGCAAACTTAAAAGGAATGTCTTTTCAGTCTATATTAACCGCTAATAGAATAAGTCAATTTATAAAACATAACAATTCATTAACCCCATAACATTGACATATATTTTTGTTACGAGAGTACTTAAGATAATTGTATTAGTTACATGTATTATTAGATATTATTAGTTAGATATATTAATTGGCAAGTTTTACTTAAGGGGTTTACTACTATGTTTGCAAGTTTACATTAAGCTTTTGCACCCGCTTCCCCACTAAATTTTCGCGCTATGTCCATCCCACTTTTTTTGCCCCGCCATCAATTCTCTGGAGCAGGGGCGGACCTACTTGATGGGAAGGGCGACACCCCTTCACCCGAAAATTTTGTGAAGAACCTATATTTTTTTGGCAAAAAAAATTTAAATACGAGATTTCCGACACCGCTTTAATAATTATAGCCAATATTCCTTCATTAGACGACACCCCTCTTCAACAATTCTGGGTCCACCACTGCTCTGGAGGCTACCCAAGTTTCGAGCTACAATGAATCTACTACCTGCCCACCCAAGTTGATAGTTGTTATCCTTTGCACTGGCGGCTACCCGCCCGACCCTTCAAAATTCAAGAGAATGGGAAGTTTCATATTCGAGAGAAGAAGAGGAAGAGAAGAGAAGTTGCATGCTCAATAGGGGTGTCAGTCGGTCGGTTTCGGTTTAACCGAAAACCAAAATCTCGATTATCGGTTAAACCGAGTGTCCGAGCCACTCCCTATGATAGCCGCCAACCGACCGTGAGGAAGCCATGGTTAGTCGGCCAACCGACCGATCAGTTTTGGTTTTAGGCTCGGTCAGCCGCCTACCTAAAAACCTACCCCTTATTTCCAAAATGTTGGCGTTTAATTAATAAAAAAAAAACAAAAACAAAACCCACATAACAAAAGCATTTCCCTGTCTTTCTCACAGCAACTACTTCTCTCTCCTTCCTTTTCTCCATTTTAGATCTGCCAATCTCTTCTTCCTTATCTCGCGTAAACATCTCTTCATTGTAAACAGGAAGAAGCAAACAGCAGTCGCCAGGGCCCAGGGGAATGGAGGTCGGCACGAACTTGTCGACGGAAAGGAGGCGATGAAGGCGGGGAGAGGAGGCGCTCGCCTGCTAAGTTGAATCTCTGGGAACGACTGCACGGCGCAACAGGACGGAGGCGACAAAGGCGTGGGGAAAGGAGGTTGTCGCTTGCGCGCGGCGCGACAAGACGGAGGCGTACGATCTTGGCAACATCAATCACGATGACGGACAAGCGCGACAACGGACGATCTCAGCGGCTGACGAGCGCGGCGGTGGACGAGCGTGAAGGCGGAGGTGGGCGACCGACTGGTCTGGGAAAGAGGCGCGGCGCTGTGCTGATTGTTTTTTTGGGATTTAGGGTTCGTAGAGAACGATATGGGGAGGGGAAGATTAATTGGATTCTTATTCATCCTCCTTTTTCTACATATTCGGTTGGGGATCGGTTAGCCGGTTAACCGCCTTCGGTTACTCGGCTAACCGAAGAACCCTTCACCTTTGCCAAACACTGACCGCGACTAGTAACCGACCGATTTTCGATTAGTGGCTAACCGCCAGTTAGCTGCTAACCGGAAATCGAAATGCCACCCCTAATGCTCAATTAATTAATCAAATCCTCTTCCATTTTCATCTCCCCCATCCCTCTACGACAACGTGTGGAGTTTTGATTAGGTCGCCGATTGCGACTTCCCTTCTCTCGAATTTGGAAGGCTGATGAATTATGTCTGTCTCGGGTCCATACTGTTTCGATGGCGAAACTCGCGTGTTTAATACGCTATGTTTTCAAAAAAACAAGAACACAAGATCAAACAAAAATCAAGACCGTCAAATATCCACCGCATCAGGCGATGTTGATTTGATCGATCAAATAGAAACCAAGATGATCGTCAAATATCCACCGCCGAGTGTCAGGCGATGTTGATTTGATCGATGCACCTTTGACTTCTAACCAAGAACAACCGTTATTCGGTTCACCACCTCTCCAAACTACGTTCAAACGAGGGTGTTTGGCGAATAACGAGGAAACAAAGAGGATCTAAATTACGTTACCTCTACTCCTATGGAGATTCCTCTAGAGAGCTCCAAACTACGTTCAAACGAGGGTGTTTGGCGAATAACGAGGAAACAAAGAGGATCTAAATTACGTTACCTCTACTCCTATGGAGATTCCTCTAAATTACGTTACCTCTACTCCTATGGATCTAAATTAAGTCTGCGACGGTGCAGTTTGAGATTTGATTTTTCCGTCTCGAGCTTCTCTCTCTTCCTGATGTTTATACCCCTTCTCTTTTCGTAGTCGCCGTAACCGCCTCGCTCCGTCTTTTTCTCCGACATTCTCCATTCTTTCCAACCATTGCGAATAAATTCCCCTTGTTACATAATTCCCACGCAGAACCGCTCGGCTATGCAAAGATGTAGTAAAACGACACTACTTCACTTGTGACCAAAACAACACTGGAATAATCCTCCGCGCAATCACCTTGGTTCATAAAACGACGGCGCAACCAACGGCACCATTTCACTAGCCACCTTGTAACCATATCATTTTAAACGTCGTCGTGAGACACAAATTCTCCCTGACATGAGATATATTTGTGGCGCTGTGAACTACAATGCCGTTGAGTTCTGGATTAAGCT